AATCTTCCTCTTTGAAGATGATCACTTGGTGATCGAAACACGTGTCGAGGTGTTAAAAATAACGATTTGGTGTTGGGAAAAAACTCCAGTAATATTCATTACTACACCAATGGTTCCGAACAGTGCATTATAACCAAATAAAAAACTGTATGGAAAATTATTAATAATTTGAAAGGACGTTGTAAAAACAGTATAACATCCATTTCACTAGAGAGCCATGTTTGGTAAATCAGTATGACCTGGATTATCTAAAGTTGAATATGCCAGTGTCAAAAAAGTCGTTTTTATTAAGCCAGTTACACCTGTAGATGTTGAAATGTTGATTGGTAATTTGAAATATTCCAAATCAAGTGGATTTGATGGAATATCAAATAACCTTCTAAAAAATCGTATGCAGGAATTTTCCCAGAATGTTTGAAGTTGGCTGTGGTTCTGCCATTATACAGAAAAGGTGATCCTGATGACTTTTTCAATTATAGAGCCATCAGTTTATTGACAAGTATCTCTGAACTCATTGAAATGGACATCACTAATCAATTCTCATCATTCTTGTGGAGTCAGAGACTGTTATCCAGAAATCAACATGGATTCTATAAAAATATGAGCCCAGAATCTGCTCTGTGTGACTTTCAAAAATGTCTTGCAGACAATCTTGATTAGGGAAAATATGCTCTGGGCGTTTTTATTGACATTTCAAGAGCTTTCGACTCAGTTAATCAAAGCATTTTGCAGTAAGTTAAGATCATATGGAGTTACGGGGATACCGCTGAAATTATTTGAATAATATTTAAATGACAGAAGTCAGGTTGCTAGGCTGAATGGAGTTCTGACTAGTTACCGTGAAATAAATCAAGGTGTACATCAAGGATCTGTATTGGGACCTTTATTATTCAATATACTTATAAATGATGTAATTTGTCTAATGGAAAGAAACCACGATATAAAATCAGTGTGTTATGCAGAAGATACCAATTTACTAATGTTTTCAGTAAAATTGAGAGGATTTATGAAGATCTGTATCTGTAGGTATGAAAAGAATTGTCTGTTATTGAATCACAACAAAACAGTAACAGTATTTTTTGGGCGCTCCTAACAAATAGCACCTGTCTCATTCAAAAATTCAGCAAAACAAATAACTCGTAGTGATGAGGTGAAACTTTTGGCAACATCTGCAATGAGCTAGTCATAGAGAACTATTGTCTAATGAGCCGAGAAGTAGTTGCTACAGCATAAAGTATATGAATGATCACTGCAGCAAAAATGTCTTGCTTACGCTGTACTTTGCACATTTCCACTCCCACATGAAGTATGGTATACTGAATTGGGGAAACAGTGCTGGTATGAATCGGATCTTCATTCTTCAAAAATACGCAATTC